GTGCATCTTTTTCTCTGATTCAATCATAAACTAGCGCATTACGTACCGTTTCACTACTAGCGAACGATCCCGGCTTCAGCGTCATCATTACGACACGGCATTGATTACGGCTTTTGTTCACACAGCGCGCGTTCCAGGACTGAACACATGCAATGTTACTAGATCCCCAACCCTGCATCAATCCCGGGTCGTGTTTGCGTTCACATAGAAGGCAGTCTGCCAATTTCCCGGGATCTTATGGACACTGACAAGACAGTAATGGAAACAAGGAAACAGGAACTAAAAACACAATAAATCCCCCAGATATGTATTATCTTGCTAAGCTTGTTAGATCTTGTATACTGTATGTGTTTCGCTGGTTGCTTTGTCAGTTTTTGTAAGTTTTGGTTTGCTTGTGTTACTGGTCTCTCTGTTCCAAGTTATTTGTTGTTATTTTTTTTCACACATTAAACATCCACAGTTAGATTTTCAGCTACAACCTCCTCATCTGCCTTCTTTGGCTCTGTACATTACACTCCCTTCACAGTGACATTCCAATGATAGTTCATAACACTTTTGTAGAAGCTACCAATCGCTGTGTTCATGACTGCATTTTAATTTGTATATAGTTGAATGATGACATCCAGTTTTTGTTAACTGCTAAAATAATCAAGTAAAATAAAAGTTAAAGCAACTGCTGAGTTGTTGTGATAAGATTTCAGGTGCAAGATTTGTAAAATTCTTGTAAAAACAAAAAGAATATGGTCAAATAACCAATAAAATGCAAATTTGCATTAATGAAGTTAATATTGTTAGTAATTCAAGTGACCAAGGTACATGGAATTTGTTAGTTTTCAACCAAAACATAATAATATTAGTTTGCATGGGGAATTTAGCAAGACCCTGTTTCGGTGTATGCATTCCAGTTTCTGCGAATTGCAGCTATCCATTTAGGTCTATTCTCTTTTCCGATTACTTGTTTTACCTGTTTGTATTTAATTCCCTATGGTTACTACAGTTACTGTTTCTACTAAAAAATCAATTTAATATGGCATCTTCTTCAAAGAATGTCTGATAGAAAAATATGTATACTTTACTAAAGCGCCATCTAGTGTCATAATAGGAGTTCACCTTGCCAAGAACAGACATCAACTTTATCTAATATAAATACACAAAATAAATGCTTTTAAAATCAGTTGATTAGACTTGTGTTCATGTTGTATTGATTTGAATACCTAGTTGGCTTGAGTAAGAATCAAATGCTGAATCCTACAATGTTAAATGTGAAAGTTTAGTTCATGTAAAAAAAATATTTAAAAAATCACATTACAGAAAGTATAAGGACACACAATGACCACGCTACAAAAGATTCAATGTTACCTTGAATATCTCGATGTTGAAATGCAACTGTTCGCTAACCAGGTGTTTTCCTTTTTATTCCAGAATAACACTACACATGCATTTATGGGATTCTGTAGATATACATAGGAGCGTGTAAGGAAACACAGAAAGATCAATTCCCATTTAGTAAATACACACACGAACATGCATAAACTCAGCAGTAAAAGCATGAATCAGCATCTTCACAAAATGCTTCACAAAAGGCACTATGTTACAGGTTACAACACATTTGTAACAAGAAAATACAAAGAAAAACAGTAACTTTTGCACGTCAACAATAATGAACATTCAGTCATTTTTGTACAGGGCCGGCCCAGACTCTGAGATTTTAGATAGAGCAACAAATAAATAAGTAAATAAATAGGCCTATTAAATAAGTACGTAAGTAAGCATCTTTCATATGACCAGCAATTTACTATTGGCGCTTTTCCATTACCAGTACCAGCTCGACTCGACTCGCCTTGGCTCGCCTCGACTCGGCTCGCTTTTCGCTCCGTTTTCCATTGCAGAAAGTACCGCCACAAATAGTACCCGGTCGTCATAGCGACGCATTTCGTTCCTCGTTGCCCCATCAAGCTCTCGCTGGATCCTCTCTTCGGCAACCAAACAAAGGAATGTCTGCACCTCCTCGTTTGACCACGGCGTATTCTTCCGAGTTGCCATAATAATAGTAGTAAGTTTAGTAGGCTAACTATCTCTGGCCAAACTATTTAAAATACTCCATCTGGCGCGTGCAATGATGACGCAGATTCTCTGTGACCAATCAGCAGTCGGCATTGTTTTCACGTCACATTTTAGTATCGGCTTAGCTCGCCTCAGCTCGCTTGGAACCTCGCCGGAGGTGGTACGAAAAAAAGTACCCGAAAGCAGGTACAGGTACAACTTTTACACAGTGGAAAACCAAACAAAGGCGAGTCGAGTCGAGCCGAGCCGAGCCGAGGCGAGCTGGTACTGTGTAGTGGAAAAGCGAATATTGATAAAACAAATGGAAATAATCAACTAACAAATCTGTAAAAAAATTATCACAAGAATTTGAACAACAAATCAACAGAAAAGTGCAATAAACTAGCCTCTTTCCTGTCATGCCCATTTTGAGCATACACTGGAAAATGACATAGGCTAAGTAAACTTAAATGATTTCAATTCATAACAACAGTCATGTTGAGTTTTTTGGTCAGGTATTAAAAAAACTATTAATAAAACAATGTTTTATTTGAAAGAAAATACCCTGCACTTAACTTGACATTTAAAGTAGAATGGCCCATAGTGTTACTGTTGCCAGTAAAGAGGTTATATCAGAATAGCACACCAACATCTGAATAGTCTGTGACTTGTGATTTCACAATTTTTTTTCTAAAGGATAGTTTCAGTTAGCCTGGTAATACCAAACTCTGCTACTTCGCTTTGCTTCATAGACAGAGTCTGGCATGGCATCATTGAAAAGTGTTTTCTTTATCGCTGTAGGGGGCGCTCGTCTGTAGTATAAAATCATTGGTTACCCGTAAGCCAATCACATAACGTTTGGTTATGACGTGTGTTATGCGCCAGCTCAGCAGCATCGAACTACCACTGTAAACACATTATAATGCGAAAACGAAACCATCGAGAGAAATACCGGAGTGAACATGGCTGTCAATGACTTTTGTAGATTATGTGATGTGAATCTACGCATCCACGGCACAATCGGGGCCTCTAAACTATCATTTGACAGTAAAGAGAAACAGGAAAATATTTGCAGCCAACTGTCAAAGTTAGGATTAGTTCTGTCAAACACACCCTTACAGAAAAACCACATGAGTTTCACATGTGCAAAAACACATGTGATCCCATGTGACAACGTGGACATGTGATTTTGCACATGTGAAATTTAACATGTGAAATATGTGGAACACATGTGCTTTGCACATGTTAAAGGTAATTTGCACATGGGAAACGTGTGGTTTTGGAACATTTTCATGTGAAACCCATGTATATTCCCATGTGAAACCCATGGGATTGCATGTGAAACCCATGTGATTACATGTGAAACCCATGGGATTGCATGTGAAACCCATGTGATTACATGTGAAACCCATGGGATGTGAAACCCATGTGAAACCCATGTGATTACATGTGAAACCCATGTGATTACATGTGAAACCCATGGGATTGCATGTGAAACCCATGTGATTACATGTGAAACCCATGGGATTGCATGTGAAACCCATGTGATTGCATGTGAAACCCATGTGATTACATGTGAAACCCATGGGATTACATGTGAAACCCATGTGATTGCATGTGAAACCCATGTGATTACATGTGAAACCCATGGGATTGCATGTGAAACCCAAAATTCCCATGTGAAATCCATGAGCTTACATGTGAAACGTAAAATTCCCATGTGAAACATTTAATCACATGTGAAACCCATGAGATATCATGTGAAATGTAAAATATCTCATGTGAAACCCATAGAATGACATTTGAAACCCATCAACAATCCATGTTAAAGCTACACACCATGTAAACCTGTAACTTCATGTGAAATCCATGTAAAAATCATTAAGCAATATACCACAGAAAACGGTAGGCCTACCATGTTCTTGTGTAGGCTCTATAGCCTAATGTTTCCCAACATTAAAACAAATAATTCAAAAAAAAATTTTTTTCACTTTTTATTTCATTTCAAAATATGCAATACAAATTGAATGTTTAAAACAAACAAAGCAAAACCAAATTAAAATTATACATAAAAAGCCGCAAAAAACGCAGGTATACGCGCATGTGTGTGTGTGTGGTGTGCGTTTGTGAAAGTGTGTTGTCTCAGTCCTTTGTGTCTCCTGCAGCAGGCATCCTGTTTTGGGATAGAAAAAGATCAAAGATTAGGGCAGTGCAAACCATAGACTGTAAAAAAAAATATGGACGTAGTGTCCGTGACGTCACCCCGTAGGTTTCTGAAAAGCATTTTTATGGGGCTTAATAATTAATTATTATTCATTTGTAATGTTATTATGTCATTAAACGTTTTACGTAAATATGCTATGGAAATACATCTTGCTTAAACAACTGTATAAGACGAGTGGTGCGTCTCATTTATAAAAAAAACTATTGACAGTTTGTGATTAGATCACAATGTAGACTGAGGAATAAACTGAGTCATCAGTCCTCGCGCATGTCGGTTTCGCAAATGTGAACAGACCACATGGGGATCACACTTGGATGTTGGATCGTCTGAATATTACCTTTCTGCTCGTCTCCTCAGATCTTTTAACTTTTGTGCCATGCAGACCTTGATCTCAGTGCCTCCGATGCCTGGGTGCCTCTTTTTGACATGGTCTGTAAGAAATGAGATTGATTACATTAAAATTTGAAAACAAGTTTGACATGAAGTGACATAACTGTCAGATTCAAACTGTGCTTTCCGCGCTATGGCTGGCGCTGACGGACGCGCTCAGCGCTTGTCATATATAATAACTATTGATAAAAGATATTCAGACATGCTTACCAATTATTAGCTGCACCTTTTGTAGGTCAAGGCTCTTTTTTCACCAACAACCCCTTTTTTTCCGTTCATGCTGCCATCTCTTCGAAAGAGAAGATGGAGTCCATAAGAGTTCTGGTTAACTTTTTGTAGCCCTTACATCTTTGAGCATGATCCAAAGCAACTGGGTTCATTAAGTCAGTCACAGACTTGTTCTGCAAAGCAAAAAATAAAATAAAAAATAGAACATTTTCGTCAGGACAGAAACCGTGATCTTTTCAACGTTATTGCATATTAGGTGAGGTTTTCACTTTGGAGCTGTGAGTGTAAATTTTAGCATACAAGTATTTATTGTTCATGCTCGAGTCTTGATACTCTTTTACCTTCATATTCCAGAGTTTAGGGGTAAAATGCGAGAAATCTCCTTTAGTGGACTTGGATATGCTGGGCACTACTCACTGATCTATATAAATGACTTGATTGCTCATGACGTCATGTAAATTGAAGTCACCATATTCTATTGAATTAATAGGAAATCATCTGACTTTAATGAGTAAACATGACCTAACGAGTCAGTGTTTTTTATATTTGAATTCTATACATTCTTACCATGTAAACATCCAAAACATTTCTGATTATTATCAATGTTGAAAACAGTTGTGCTGATTAATGTGTTTGTGTAAACCATTGTAACAGTTTAAACCATTTTTTCCCCTCCAGGATTCATTGTTAAATAGACCACAAACATATGAAGGGTAGTTTACACTAATGTTCAAACATTTGGGGTCAATGATAGATTTAAAAATGAACAGAAAAAAAAGAAGAAATTCATATTTTTACTCAGCAAGGATGCATTAAATTGATCAAAAGAGAGAGTAAGGATTTCTGTTTCAAATAAATGCTGTTATTTTAACCTTTCTATTCATCAAATAATCCTGAAAAACACAAAAATATGAAGCAGCACAACTGTTTTCAACACTGATAATAATCATAAATGTTTTTTTGAGCATCAAATCGTCATATTAGAATAATTTATGAAGGATGATGTGAAGCTGTGATGCTGAAAATTCAGCTTTGATCATAGGAAGTAATTGCATTTTACAATATATTCACATAGAAAACAGTTTTTATTTATTTATATTATTTCACAATATTATTGTTTTTAATGTTTTTTGGTGAACATAAGAGAAAGAGACATAAACATTTGTACCAAGACAATTAGTGTATGTTTGACATTAGTGTATGTTTGGCGTTTTACTTACTAATCATATGGTTCATCAATAGTGCTTTAGAGATGAAGATCAGCTCCACTCCGCTCCGTTGAAGGGCATCAGCACTGAAGGATCTAAGAACACAACAAGCCATTTGTCACTGAGCCAACAATGCAATGCCAGGTTTATTGAAAGGAAAGAAGCTACAGCAGAGGTGAAATGCAGAAAAGAGAAAGAATTTAAAGAATATACAGAATATAATTTCTTAACTAGGATAACAGAATTTGTTTTTGGGTTTACTTATTCATTTAATTTTGCTCATACGGTGTAACTTCGTTTGGATGTCAAAACCTTCTTAAAATAAACAATTTAAAAAAACAAATTGAGAAATAAAATGAGGTTATTTAATGAGCTTCCTCGGCTCACCTGTGTCCTAACGTTACTTCTCCGGCAGCAGCTTTCTCCAGAAATGTTGAAGTCGTGGAGCTTTCTCTCTGTTATGGGTTATTTTGTTACTACTGAAATCACAGAACATTTTTTAATCAAAATGTGTTTAACGTTACCATTGAGCTAACGTTAGTTTCAGCCAATTTTCTTGCTCCTGAAAGTAACATCACCGATACGTTATGTTTACGTTTGTGTTAAATAAATTAGCTCACTTCCAAGTAAAACCTTTACAAAACCTCTCATCTACACATAAGAGGTGATTAAAAGCCCAAACTTTAATAAATAAAAGTTCAACCGAGTTAACATTACGTTAGCCTAGCTAGCTGCTACCTCTTCAGAAAACGGTTGAGATCCTAACGGACTTTTTCCGAAGACACTACACCATGTAAATTTTTAACAGAATCGTGTCAATTACAAGTAAGAGAAATGTCAAAAACAGTTGTGAGTATTATTCGTGTGATTTTAGAGACTAATCTCACCTGGAAAAAGCCGTGAAAAGTTTAAACAACATCGAGAGAGGGAGTTTTGTTGCTTACCAGTAGCAGTGCAGTGGTCCCGCGCCGTTTCCATGGCAACTCTGCGCGCCGGCCGCTCCAGTGTTTGAAATACTCGAAAGTTCACGCGCACGGCATTGATTAAACCACGTCAAAATCATGCAGCACTTAAAATGAAAAGTTTAATATCCACTTTATTTTATTTGAAAACGTGCTTGCAGTAGCCTATTGATTATATCAAATATAATATACTGTTGATTATGTAAAATATATTTACAATATAGCTTTAGAAATGGTAAACAGTGTTGAAATAAAAGTATTGCAAAAACTCATTAAAAACTATACGTGTATATAAGTGTTAGTATATACACATGCATTATAAGCTTTATGTTCTATGCATTTTGTGTGAAAAAGGCTATTGAAGCTAAAAATGTACAGTATTTGTGACGTGGTAACATAATTCACATGTTAAAACCTATTACAACGTGCAAATATATTTCACATGAGCTCCACATTATTACCTATAACATGTTTTCCACATGTGCCACGTGTTCCATTAAGTTCACATGTGGTGACATGTTGTTCACATGTGGTCGAACATTACTGCATGTGGTGACATGTTGTTCACATGTGGTCGAACATTACTGCATGTGGTGACATGTTGTTCACATGTGGTGAAACATTGTTCACATGTGATGACATGTTGTTCATATGTGGTCACATGTGGGCATATGTGGTCACATGTGGTCACATGTGGGCACATGTGGAAAACATGTGATAACATGTGAAATTCATGTGTTTTTTCTGTAAGGGCAGCTCTTTGTTCATCTCGAGTCTGTCGGAAATGATTGGCCCGGCTGTTTTCAGGCCGGAGGAAAACTGAGAGATAGGTCGATGTCTCAGACTAAGTACAGAAGCCAAATGAAATTGAGCGGAAGTACGAAGTCTGACGTAGTCAGGCTAAGTTTTAGTGGCAAATGGTAATGATACTAATACCTATAGTAACTGTATAATCATGCATAATTAACACGTCATTGCATAATGATGCAGGCAGTGTTTAAATTAGTCCAACATAATATGTTTAAGTATTTTTTCTAAACTTATCAACTTTGATAAACATTGCAATCGAAAATATTAAAAGTTAATCTCTAAAAAGCTGTCACTCACTCTTCACTGCAATCTCACAAAGCTTCATTATAATCATCAAAGCTGTATATCTAACACTGCACAATGAATATCTTATGTATATCATGTTTGCACTTTGTTATAATGAGAGGATTTGCGCTAGTGAAGATCTCAGCACTGAATAAAAACTCCAGCGTTTTGAATGGATTCTGACAAACTTACACCTGACACTGCTTTTAAGAAATCAACAGACATGTCTGTGACTGGCTTCACTGCTCAATGCTGCAAAAACACACTGTAAAGAGAAATAGCTCAAATGCTAGCATTATATTAACAGACTTTCTACAGTACAGATTCAATTCAGTACTTGTGTTTTTAGCAGCATGACATTACTATGAATTTGATTACAACGAATTACTGCGTTATGGGGTCTTGCGGTGTAATTGCAAATGATTAAAGAAATAGCAATACTGGGAAGAAAGATATTATCCTGCACTGTTTCTGTCCGGAACTCTTTAGCAGATGTAATAATCCCTCCACCATTATATAATGGTAATCCTCAAGCACTTTTGGTTTCAATGCTGCTAATGTCATGTAGTGTCTCAGTCTGATTAAGGAATGTGCCATCAGGGACATCCGTCTGCAAAGGCTCGGTCGGACTACTGGACGTCCCAACAGGGACATTCGTCTGCAAAGCCTCGGTCGGACTACTGGACGTCCCAATAGAGACACTCGTCTGCAAAGGCTTGGTCGGACTACTGGACGTCCCAACAGGGACATTCGTCTGCAAAGCCTCGGTCGGACTACTGGATGTCCCAACAGGGACACTCGTCTGCAAAGGCTCGGTCGGACTACTGGACGTCCCAACAGGGACATCCGTCTGCAAAGGCTCGGTCAGACTACTAGACGTCCCAACAGGGACATCCGTCTGCAAAGGCTCGTTCGGACTACTGGATGTCCCAACAGGGACACTCGTCTGCAAAGGCTCGTTCGGACTACTGGACGTCCCATCAGGGACACTCGTCTGCAAAGGCTCGGTCGGACTACTGGACGTCCCAACAGGGACATCCGTCTGCAAAGGCTCAGTCGGACTACTGGACGTCCGAACAGAGAAATCCGTCTGCAAAGGCTCGGTCGGACTACTGGACGTCCCAACAGGGACACTCGTCTGCAAAGGCTCGTTTGGACTACTGGACGTCCCAACAGGGACATCCGTCTGCAAAGGCTCGGTCGGACTACTGGACGTCCCAACAGGGACATCCGTCTGCAAAGGCTCGGTTGGATTACTGGACGTCCCAACAGGGACACCCTTCTGCAAAGGCTCGGTCGGACTACTGGACGTCCCAACAGGGACATCCGTCTGCAAAGGCTCGGTCGGACTACTGGACGTCCTAACAGGGACACTCATCTGCAAAGGCTCGGTCGGATTACTAGACGTCCCAACAGGGACACTAGTCTGCAAAGGCTCGTTTGGACTACTGGACGTCCCAACAGGGACATCCGTCTGCAAAGGCTCGTTTGGACTACTGGACGTCCCAACAGGGACACCCGTCTGCAAAGGCTCGGTCGGACTACTGGACGTCCCAACAGGGACACTCGTCTGCAAAGGCTCGTTCGGACTACTGGACGTCCCATCAGGGACACTCGTCTGCAAAGGCTCGGTCGGACTACTGGACGTCCCAACAGGGACATCCGTCTGCAAAGGCTCAGTCGGACTACTGGACGTCCCAACAGGGACATCCGTCTGCAAAGGCTCGGTCGGACTACTGGACGTCCCAACAGGGACATCCGTCTGCAAAGGCTCGGTCGGACTACCGGACGTCCCAACAGTGACACTCGTCTGCAAAGGCTCGTTCCGACTACTGGACGTCCCAACAGGGACACTCGTCTGCAAAGGCTCGTTCGGACTACTAGACGTCCCATCAGTGACACCCGTCTGCAAAGTCTTTGTTTGATTAAATGGCGTCATTTTAGCAGCATCCATCTGTGGATTCTCAGGCTGATAAAGGGACGTTTCATTAGTGACACCCTTCTTTGAATCTTCAATAAGGGGCGTATGTTCTTGGTTATTCATCTGAAAGAACAAAAACATTCACAGAAGTTAAAACAAATAATCAGGATGTATGATTCAGTTACACAAACACACAAAAAAGTATTTTTCTCTCTGATGTTTGCTAAATGTAAAGACCCCTGTTCTTCATTCTGAAGTAAAACAACACAAGATCCGTTTCTCTTAAATACGGGTACGGGCCACCAAGGCTGTTGAGAATTTTTTGTTTTTGTGATGATTTCTGAATGAAACCACACATACATTCACACAGAAAACACAAACAGATACACCACCAAAGATATACTCATAGTCCTGCTTCACTTCAAGGGTAAAAAGATGTTTGAAATACGTGACCTGTGATATACTATGCAAACATCTAGACACCGCCTGCATTACTGAGAGTGCAGTTTATATGAATATGTAAATATGAGAAGCAAGCTTTCCAGTAAAAAACAAAATAAAGACAAAAAATTACAGCAGTGAGAAAACAGTCACACCTAAAACAATCGCCACAAACCAATAGGAGTTAAAAAAAAGCGGTTTCCAACTCCTGAAACAAGCTCCGTATGAACTTTGTTTTGGGCTGATTTTGTTTGAAATTGTCACACCAATTTTTTTTTTTTTTTTTTTGCCGGCTTTAACAATTCTCACAGTTATAAGTCTGCTGCAAATTAATTTTTTTTTTTTGCAGATAGATTTAGTGCTCACAGTATCTCACCTGATCATCATTTCCTGGTGTCTCGTCTCCTGTTTGAAAAACACAAACTCTTACTTTGGTCAATTAGAAAACAATTACATAATTTAACATATTTCTAAATAATCTTTTTGCACAATAAATCCCATTTTAAAATTTTGTATAATCAGCTGTATGTTATACTTGCCATTTTTTCTTGGTGGTGTAGGTCTCCTGTGACGATAGTAAATCACAGCAGCGACTGCTACAGTCACAAACAGCAGAACAACAGCAACACTTATTCCTGCTATAGCAGCTGAAGATGAACCTGAATCTGGAACAGATGAAGACACACACACATTATTACTAGAGATAAACTGATAATTGATTTTACCAAAACGGTTGACTGATAATTACATCTTTTTATATTTTTTTTGTAAAAAAGTTGCATGATATTGATTTAACTTTGAGCAACAGCAGTTAAAACAGCATCAGCACTGTGAGCTCAACAGAAAACAACGTTCACAGGAAAACTGACTAATATTATGCATTTTCTTGTTATTAACAATAGACTTCAGTCTGTTTTGAAGATGATAGAGATGATCTCAATTATACTATAATGTTGAGTCAAAAAGCTCACTTTTTCAAACAGGCCACAATGAAAACCATTACCGGGTCGATTTTAAAATAGTGAATGCTTTTCTAAAACTGCTCAAAGGAAAATGTACTTAATAGTGTCCTATGTGTGAACATGTTCTACGTTTATTTTCCCCAGGTTTTTTTTCTTCTTCTTGAAAATAGTATTTGAATGTGCGGCAACTATAGTTGCTTTCAACACATCAATCTTTATTCATAAACACATTTATTATGTATAAAAGTCGAAGAACATTTGATGCGAACCCAAAAAAGCTGCATCTAGCTTATAATCTCTTGAATATGAAAACACAACAAACAACAAATCCATTTGTGTTAATAACCCTTGTGCGCTGGAAAATGCAGTTTTAAAAGTAACAAATTATCACTTTAACCAGTAGATGACTGCAGAGCTCCACTATTTGTTATTTGACTAAATGAAAGACAATTTCTCACAAGTTTTTCCAGTTGTATTCATATCTACATATTATGAAATCACATTTATAACAATAAAAGTTACTTTTTGTCAAAGTTTAGGCAAAACCTCAAAATCAGAAAGAACACACATAGAC